GACATGGTTCCCTAATTACAAGGAAAAAACCAATACAGAAGCAAAGACATCAACACAACATAACACCCATATGATTTCTCAAGTTTCTAAAAGATAATTTTATTGAACATGAACTTTATAGGAAAGAGATATTTTCTGTATAGAGACAAAGAGAAAGCACCCAACTTTGGGATTTTACTTTTTAAATATTTGCTGGAAAAGGTTGACTTAATATATGTGTTTTTCTTGCTGTAATTATCATGTAAACAAAATGAACTTTCAGTCTTCCGAAAAAGCTCTTACTTTAAGTGTAGTTGTTAAATCAATATTTGTTGAAAATGAATTGGTGTCAGATACTGTGAGGTACTGGCAGCCAGGGTGGATAAAGCCATCCTTACTTTCTAGTAAAATAACAGCAGTCTATGGGGTGTTCTATGCAGATAAACATAATACAGTGTAGTGAGTGGAAATATTATAGACAAGCTGGCTTTAATTTGGCCTGAGAAAGTCAGGATGAATCACTGAGGAGGTAATTGCATTTCAAAGGTGTGTGACAGTTTTGTGTTCAGGTGTTTAAAGAGAACCCAAGAATGATTCATTCAAAGATACCATCTAGGAGGTAATACACTAGATTAGTTATGGTAATATTTACCAGTGCTTAATACAGGTACTTGCTAGGCACAAGTATCATCTCATTTAATTTTCATACTGTCCTAAGACATAGGTACTATTATTTTCATCCCCATTTTGTAGAAGTGCTAACTAAGGCACAGAGAGTTGATGTAACTTGTCTAAGTTCTCATGGAAGTAGCAGATCTGAGTGAAATACCATCAGTCTGATTCCAGACTCACCGCTCAACCACCATGTCCTGAAAACATTCTTGTTATTTTTTTGTCCAGCTAACATTAGGAGATCAAGGGGAAAAATGTGTCAGTCAAAGGTTGATCACTGGATAGATAAGTAATGATAAACAAGAATAAAATTGCAAATAAAAAAGCTAGTAGGATTTTAAAAACTTCTACTTTCAGCAAACCTAGTTGCTAGATAGTAAGCTCACATTGGTGGTCTGTGACTGTCCCATTTACAAAAAGCAGATTATTTTGATTTAGGTAAATGAACAGCTGGTTGTTGTATAGCTATCCTGGCAAATTCAGGGTTATCTCACCCAGAAGGGTAATTGCAAGACTGTCCGTTGCATTATTGACCAGTAGTTCACATAATGCACAAAGGAGCCAGGACCAAAGGAAGAGCGGTCACTAATAATTACATGTGGATATTTGCATTTCAGTATGGTCAATTTCTACCTTAATATAGATCTTTTCAAAAGTAACTTCTTGTTTGAAAATATTAATAAATATATGTAGTTGAAAGATGGTGCCATCTGGAATCCTGGGTTAGTAGAATCCAAGATCCAGCACAGAATACTTAGTAGCCGTGGATAGTTGCTCTATGTTTTAATAGCATATAACCACAGCCTAACACCTGCTAGACCCTCAATAAATGGTAATTATTGTACTTTAATTAAGTGACCTATTAAGTAAAAATGGACAGATTTCAATTTTGTGTCATTTTCCAACTTATGTCTCTAGGGAACTTTGCTCAATATTATCTTGACTGTTAGATACTGATGGAAACAGGAGTAGGATTAGCACATTCTTGTCAAAAAAGAAAATATTTTTGAAGTATGACCCAAGAGATTAAGACTATAAACTTGAATCCAATGAAAAGTGTTTTCTTTTGATTTAAAAAAGGGACTTTACAAAGTATGTTCTGTTCTTTGTCTTGACCAAGAATCCACACCTAATAAGGGGAAATAGTAGAGGGAAAGAAATTGAAAAAATGGTGAAGTCTTACTGGGGGGCCAAGCCATTTCGCAAATCCACTCTTATGGTTGCAGAAGTCAGAGTTGATTTGAGAAGCCCTATTTTACATAAAAAAAACAAGACTGTAAAGGTTTTAAAGGCAAGAGCCTACAAGATGATGGCAGGAGGAAGAAGAGGGAATACAGTGAAATTCAGCTCCCAGAGACTGAAGTTTATTGCTACTTTCCATTTGTCCAACTTACTTTCTGAGATACCGCTTTTCAACCACTCAAGAAACAAGGAACAGATCACTTTGAATTAGATTATTTGGGCTTTTCCTGGAGTCAAAAGATAAAATAAGTACAAATTAAAAAAAAAAACAACTAGATAAGACAGCACAACATTCGATAAAATAATAAATTGGTTCCCAGTGCCTCCTGGAAATAGGGAAAAGAAACATAGGTAGAAACATTGCAAATGAGATGATAAATTATTTACAGTCATCTGAAATTTCAACATGAAGTATTATTAAGCCCAAAGTAATCTGGGATGTCTTATATCAGAAATCGGAGGTTATTTTAATTATGACTTTTAAATACCAGGTTCAAGATAAGATCATGGTCTTGAGACAGTCACACTCAATATGTTCTAGCATACTCTTAGAAGTGTCCTACTTTGTTTGAAATTTATATTCTTGGTACATGTTGTATCCAATAAAAAAGACACTAGGAATCATTTTCCCCCTAAAAATTGCTGGTGTTAAATAGCTTTTCACCCAAAAAGAATGTCAGTCCAATCCCAAAGAAAAAACACCTGATTACAAAGCTTCTAGTTAAGTAAGAACTAATCAAAATGTAAATCAAAGTGTAATGACACTCATAATTGTAATCCACAGTAAAATCTGAGCATGTTAGTAAGCTTGTGGTGATACAAGTCTGTGTCCTTCCAAGGATTACATCTAGAAGCAGATCTATCATCAAGTAGAAGAACCAGACAAGAACCACCCATATCCTGTTGATCATGAGTTTTGAATGAGACAAGAACATGTTCTTTAGCAAAAGAAATTTAAAATGAAGTCAAGGAAAGTTAATTTTATTAATAAAACTTTTTAATTGAAATAATGTAATTTATACTTTTTCACAAAAGTTACATATTTTCATTAAAATGTTTCAAGGATAAATCTAATTTTTCCCAAGTTCATATTTGTTTAAATGATTGGTTTGGCAAAATAAAATCAGTATATGTTACTTTTCAATATATGGGGAAGAAGAGACCTGGCAGTTTTGAAACTACTTTCCTTATTTTCTAAAATTATATAAGCAAGTAATGTCCTTTTAAGTGAAAATGTGAGAAATAGAAACAGAAAGAATAAAAAAAAAATCACATATAGTCTTTCCTTCCAAACTTGGCCTCTGTGATCATTTGCAGATATTTCTTAGTTTTCTTTTTGTATTTCAGTTGTGAAGGTTAATATACATATAGAAAAGCACATAAAACTTATATATACAGTTTAATAAGTGATTAAAAACTGATTGCCAGTGTAACCACTACCCAGAGCAAGGAATAAAATACTGCTGGGAATGCCTCAAACTGCTATCCCTTCCCTTACCCTCACTGAAGTCACCCCCTCCTGATGTATGGTAGCCAATCCCTTGCTTTCCTTGATAAATTTACCTTCTACTTCTACACTGTTGCCATCCACATATGCACCCCAAACTTCACACTTTTTTAAAAAAGATTTATTTTATCTGTTTCAGAGAGAGAAAATGTGGGGAGAGGGGCAGAGTGAGAGGAAAAGAATCTCAAGAAGACTCCATACAGAGCACAGAGCCTGAGGTGGGACTCAATATCATAACCCTGAGATCATGACCTGAGCTGAAATCAAGAGTTGGACGCTGTAGCCAACTGCGCCACCCAAGCACCTCTTTTGTGCCTTGCCTTTTAAAAGTTCAATATTATGATTGTAAAATTTATCCCTGCTTTTGTATGGAGCTGTAGCTTAATTTTCATTACTGTGTAATATTCCACTATATGTATGAATTTATCTATTTATCTTGGGCACCTGGGTAGCTTCTAAGTGGAGAATATTATGAACAATGTGTGTCCTGGTGCAGATATCCCTGCATCGGGTGTATACTTAGGAGTGTAATGGGTGATCATAAGGTATGGGTTTTAATCATATTTGAATATTTAAACATAATTATCTAAGTAGCATTTTTATTATTTCAGAGTTGTAATCACCATCATTATATTGAATAAATAATTTCCATTTGTGACCAAATATTATAGCCTGGTCTTTTGTAATGAATTTACTCCTTTGGACGCCTGGGTGGCTCAGTGGTTGAGCGTCTGCCTTTGGCTCAGGGTGTGATCCTGGAGTTCTGGGATCGAGTCCCACATTGGGCTCCCTGCATGGAGCCTGCTTCTCCCTCTTTCTCTGTGTCTCTCATAAATAAATTTTTAAAAATTAAAAAAAAATTTACTCCTCCACTTTCTAATTTGCTCATAAAAGTGATACAAAATCTTAAAATTTATAGAATTTATAGCAGACATACAATCTCATGAACTATGATCTTATGTAGACAGAGAAGTTTTGTTTGTTGTCCTAGAAGATATTGAAGCAAATATATTCTAAATAATTTTTAAGGAAGTTTTTTGATGGAGTTGTGTTTGACCTACAGCATTGCACAAGTGTAAGGTATAGGACACATTGATGTGATACATTTATATTGCAGTATGATTGCCATTGGAGTATTAGCTAACACCTCTATAACACCACATAATTATCATTTCTTCTTGTGTTGAAAGCAATTAAAATCTAATCTCTTAGCAAGTCTAATGTTTATAATATTTTGTCTATAACCACTGTACTGTGTATTGGGTCTTTAGAACTTACTAGTTTCAAGTATGTGTCTTTAAACATTTCTCCTCTTCTCCCACCCCTGAGAAATGTTGTTTTAAAAACATGGTGAATGTTTGCCCTGCCAGGAAAACTCTAGAATCCAGCTTAATGTTTCTGTTAAAGGTTCAGTGTTTAGCTGTACAAATCTGTGATAAATTAAAATTAAACTGTCATATTTTCTTTCCAAAGTCCACTTTTTGACATCTTCCTGACTTCGTTGGAAGTAATTTTAGAGTTTCTCCAAGCAGGCTCTCTGCTGCTCCACTTCGTACACTACCTCACTTTCCAGTAAAACCTTTTAATTGCTTTGACACAGGGACCAAGGTTGCTAAGAGACCACCCGTGCTGAATGCACTTTGTCCTAGCAAGAGTTTACAGTTTACCGAAAGAAAACCAAGGAGCAGGGTTATCTACCGCTACCTGGGATTAAGGCAGGTGAGAAATGGGTTTCTGCTCACTCATCAGTCCTTGCCAGCTCCCTGGTCTCTCCCGAACTTCCTATTTTGGTCTCTTTCTGTTGTTGGAGGAAAGTAGAGGTGCCCCTCAGGGCACAGATTAAACAAACATAAACTGGAGGCCATGGCCATCACAGCAAAGGAGAATCACTTTGCAAACCCATGAATTATTCTCACTCCTTGTTTCTGAAACATAGGCCAAAGGAATTGTTGAAAGTCCAGGAAATTCTAGGTGTTTACTGTGCCAGTGCCTGCTGTGTAATTTGGGGCATACCATTCCCTTCTCCAGGAACGGGGCTAGTTATTACAGAAATTAACCAAGATTGCTTAAATGGGAGAAGACAACACTGTATAAACCTCATCTGTTCCCCTCTCTCTTACAACTCAACCTGCCTTTTTGGTTTTTGGGTGAAAGTAGCAAAAAATATTCTTCTAGCCCAATATTGCTTCTTTTTAAAAATATTGACGCTCCCTTTAACTTGACTGTATAAAAGGAACTTTGATGCAAGTCTTTGAAAACTACTTGATTTATCTGACCTTGAATTCCTGAAAAAGGAGTTCAGAATGGTTCTAAACTCCCTACCTGACAGGCATTCGGTAAAATGTTCCAACAGTGTGCTAAACAGAGCTCACATTAATACATAACACTTTTTGAAATTCCTGTTATTTAAAAAACTGTTTAACACAGAAATGTGGAGGAAATTAAATGTTTGATATCTTATTAAGTGACCAAACTAATGAGAGGGGATCCCGAGGAAAGATCAAGGCAATGAAAAAGACCTTTTGTTTGTTTAATTAAAAAAATATTTTATCACCTGCCTTCTGTGTCTTCAAATTCACATTTCCTGGTGATGTTGCCAATACAGGTTGGAAGAATGGCAATTTCACTGATGCCAACAGAAATGATGGTAAAGGACTTTGCAGATAAGATTTCATAAGTAACTACTGATAATGACAAGAGAACAGTCGTTTTGATAGTTCCTTGAGTAGTTTCTCTTCAGAAAGCAAGCATATTTGACATGTAGAAAAATGTATGATTATGACATAAAGTGGTCAAAATGAGTAGGTGGGAAATAATTTAATTCATTAGAGGGGAAAGTATTTTACTTTATTGATGGGTTACAGGTGTGTATAGATGTTCCCTCATCACTATTTCTTTACAGTGCAAATATTCCATTGAGTTTAAAGAATCAAGATTATAAACATGTTTATTTCAGGGTACTTTTCTTGTCCCCCCCCCCCCCCGCAGGGAGCAAGAGCATGTTGGATATGATGTGTAAAAACTGGATATTAATATCTACTACGATTCCCACAAGTCCAGAAGATGAAATTGTTGGAAGACTTCTAAAAATTTTGTTTGTTATCTTTGTTGACTTTATGTCTATTATGTATGTCATTGTAACTTCCTAAAGAGCAGATTTCTCTTGCTTTACATGTAAATTTCACATTAATTCTGCTGAATAAAAATTTGGAGTTTAATTTGTTGAGTGATATTATTCTGATCTCCACTTATTCTAGAAGCTAAAATGACATTTCAATAAAAACAATATCATGCATTGCTTAGTACCTTAGGGTTTATAAAACACCATAAAAATTGACATTTTTTCCCCATAAATCTACACAACTGAGTCCTAAAACTTCTTGACTTTTAAACATGATTGTAATTTGATAGATTGACTAAAATTTATAGGTATAATTATGGGTGATTTTTTTCAGGATGCATACCTACATGAAATTTTATATGGTTCTATTTTTAACACATCAAGCTTAACATATGATAATCTTTCCATACAATATGCCAGTAGTTTACTTCATTTTCTTATACACCTATCTGTGTGAAGGTAGATATGTTTTTCTGAACCCTGGAGAAGTTTTTGTTTCTAACAACAAAAACATAGAGTTAGGAATAAAATACTGTAAAGAAATCTTTTAAGAAAACAGAACTCCCACATTTAAAAATCTTTCGTGAGAAAGAGAGATCGTTTACCCTGCTTGACAACGGATCCTCTTTACTTGTTTTCTTGATAACCTCCTTTTCCAACAGTGTTAATATATAACTGTTGAACTCCTGCTTTTTAAGATTCTGAAAAGCAAAGGTCACTCTGTCCTTTAAATTCTCTGACTTTTTACATTGAACACACCTGCTTCACAAAAGTGATTTCTTCATGCGATGCCCATTTTCTCAGATTTGGCCCAATCATTAATGCAAGATTTCATAGGAGGCGTAATGAAGTGTGAAAGGAATCTAGGACCTTTGAGACTTATTACTGAACTGACTCTTACTTAACCTTTCAGTGGTGTTGTATATTTAACCATAAGCCAAATAGAGGCAAACTATTTGAACATTTGCTGTCATAGAAAATCCTACTTCTTCTACGCTATATATTCACAGCCTTCCTTTTGGATATAAGGGTCATGTACTGTTGATGCAATGTGTTTCTCCCCAGTCCTCTGATTTGGAGTTTGTTGGAGCCTAGTACCAGGCTACTGACAAGAGAGTAAGTCACTCCGTCTTCTGAAAATTGTTTTTTTCCCCCACTGTGTGCTTCCAGGCAGTAGACAATGTGGTTAGAAGCATTGACTCTGAAGTCAGACTGCCTGAATCCAAATCTTGGCTTCACCTCTTACACTTTAAGAACCCCATGTCTCCCTTTCCTTCCCTGTAAGACATGTGCCTGTATCATAGGTTTGTAGAGAGGATGAAATGAGATGACTAGTGCAAAGCACTTAGCACAATTCTCAGAGGATGAAAAACCTGAAACCGTGATAGATACGTGTTATTGGCATCCTCAGTGGGAACACAAGTGACTTGGCTTCCTTTAAGCTGAATGGTAGCAGATCTCAGTCACCTGCCTGTTCTATGCTTCTCCTGTGCCCTTAGAATGACCTCACATTAACTCATTCCCTTGGCCTGAGAATGTGATTGTTTGCCACTAGCATAATTCTGGGCAAAGTGTAGATCTAAATGGGTTGACACTGCAGGGCTGACTTTTGATTATGTTAGTTTGGGACCTGGCAATTATGACTAGATACAATGTGGCTTGAGACAACAAAGGAAAATTGATAAATATCTTTTTGCAATAAGTAATCAGAGTCTTGGCTATATAATTAGAAATATATTGCTTTTTTTTTTTTCACTGTTCAAAAATATTCGTTCAATTTCTTTTTGACAGGCATGGTGCTGAACAGCCAGGTAAAGGATTGAGCAAAATGTGGTTCCTGCTCTCAGGGAGTGTGAGGAGGGAATGAATGGATACCCAAATGGGGTAATTGCAGTTGGGTAAAGTAGTAGGCAGGACACGCCAGGGATGTTCTGGAGGGTGTGGTGGAGGATGTTCTGGGTACAGCCAGAAGCAGCAAGCCTTGGGATCCTATTAGACATTGCAATAGTTCCCCTTCTGAATTCTGACCTACTGAATTCAGAAGCTGCCCTGTAATCAGATCCCCAGTGATTCATATGCATGCTACAGTTTGAGAAACACGTTTATGTGGAAGGAAGCTCACTGGATTAAGAATTCCTACTGTCTGGTTAGTGGACAGATATGTGACCTCTGGGCAAGTTGCTTAACCTCTCTGGGTCTCATACTCCTCCTGCATTAAAATAGAACAGAAGGAAGAAAAAACAAAAAATGGCTTTATGCTTTGCATGTCACATAGATATATTGTGAATTTTAAATGAACTGAACCGAAACACATAGAAATGCATAACAGAAATTAGTTATGTAAATCTAAGAAGTTATAAACATCAAGAACACAGGAGTGACTCTGGGAGGTAAGGGATCTGTGATTCCCTTTAGGAGAACTAGAAAATAATTGTTTTACTAAATGACAACAATATCCACTGCATGGATGTGTATATGCAGCCTGGATTAGGTAATGTGTTTTCTTGGATGAATTTCTGTGGAATTTCATAGAACTTAATGTCCACAAGCACTGTTATAATCAACCCACTGACTGAACTGGATGGTGTTTTCAAACTTGTGACTAATACATATGAATTGTTTGACCATGCCTGAGCTCATTGTCTACATGCTCTTATTTTCATAATCTTGGTATCAAGTGGCCTTGCATCCTTCCTAGTTCTGTGGTCCATGAAGACTTTCAGAAGAGGTCAGAAGCTGCCTGCTAGAAACCTCGTAACTCATAAATGGCAGTACCTGAAGCTGTGGTGACACAGCTGAAAATGAGAAAACCAAGACCTTGGACTCAAAACAATCTGCCTCAACCATTCAGTTATCTTCATGTCAAACCAGGCAGGTTAATCATCTCACTGGCTCTTCACTTGGCAGAGCTAGAAGTTTGTGCTAAATGAAGCATCCTAATCCTATGCTCGGCATTTACCAAGGAAAATGCAACCTGTTGCATATAACTATTGTGAAATCTTGTAATGTATTGCCTATCTCCTGTACCGGCATCTGTCTTTTCTAAGGCTTCCATCTGTAATAAAATGGCGTATGAACCCTCTAGTCATCGAGTCCCATTGTTTCATGGTATCCAATTTGTAGACAGTCTATAAAAAGGAAATCTTGGACGATTGTGCTGCACTTAATATACAAAGAAATATGAGCTGTGTCCAAAAAATCATGTAATGTCAATTTTTCTATAATTGCAAAATCTCAAATGCCATTTTGAGCAATTTGTTCCCAAAGAATTCACAAATGACATTTTGGTAGATGTGGTGATTGCTTGGGCTTAATTAATATAACATCTTTCGGGTGACAAGGACTCTACAGTTTATGCAGTAATTCAGCATTCACTTGAATGAAATGACTTATCAAAAAAAAAAAAAGCCAGATAGCCATTTGGAATTGGAATGTACAGTTGCTAACTCTGGGGTAGGACTGGGAAGAAGTGCTTCTGTGGAGACAGGGGTTGAGGTTTGAGAGAGAATCCTTAAGGTGTGGTGTTTTTGTGACCACGTAGAACAGGTTTTGTTCCGGGTTGCTGTCTGCATGATGGTTATTTGCTAACCTTACTGGGAGCGGTCCTACTAACTGGGCAAGCTGAGGGCAAGTTGCCATGTAGGCCAGTCTGGGATCAGCAGTGAGCCCAGACTTATTTATAAACCTGCAGGAAGGGCCCCTTGACTGTGCTCTGCCTTCTGACTCGGGATGATGGGGAGAGATTAGTGAGAGAGCACGGGAAGTCCTTGATGGCCAACTGGGTTTCCAGCCTGAACCATTTGCCCTTTCAGCCAGGAGCTGGCTACAGACTGTTTTCTGGATGGTCAGTGTCCCTGGACTGGTGTGATCTCAAGGTACTGGACTGACCTTTGGGTGTTGTTTACGAAGCTCATTATGACTTGCACTATGGAGCTCATCTGCTCAATAAATATTTGGCGAGCACTTATTGCCTATCTGGTAGTGCTGCAGGCCTAGGGAAAGACTGTGGGCCCTGTCCTCATGGAGCTTGCTTTCTGGTGGGTAAAGCAGACAACAAACTGATAAACTCATGAGAATTTCAGATAGTTCTAAATGCTGTGAAAAAAGGAAAACAAAGCAATAAGAAAGAGAGAGTTTATGTGGGGTTAAAATGGAGGCCTGTTGGTAAAGACTTCAGGTAAAGAGAATAGTAGGTACAAAGGCCCTGAGGTAGGCAGGTAGAGGTCAGCAAAACATTAGGAAAGCCAGTGTGACTATGACTTAGTGAACAAGTAGAGAGTTAGTTTTACGGGATTGATAAAAATCAGCTTCTATATGACTTATTGAATATTTGTTGCACCACCTGGATAGTTGGTGAAACTTTCTCATGGCAAACTGTAGAAAGAATGTGAGCAGATCTCGCGTTCTGTGTCCTTTGCACTAGCACACACCCCACAGACAATGAACCCTCTCTGGGGACTGTGATTTTTCCATGGTTATTCTAGGTTGGTTGTATCTGGCTCCTAACTTGTTGCAGTGTGAGGCAGCTTCATTGCTCTACTCATTAATTTTAAAAGTTGTGTTTTTAGGACAGCATTTTAAAAACCACAAGCAGGGGATCCCTGGGTGGCTTAGAGGTTTAGTGCCTGCCTTTGGCCCAGGGTGCTCTCCTGGAGTACTGGGATCAAGTTCCACGTCGGGCTCCCAGCATGGAGCCTGCTTCTCCCTCCTCCTGTGTCTCTGCCTCTCTCTCTCTCTATGTCTATCATGAATAACTAACTAACTAACTAACTAAATAAATAAATAAATAAATAAATCTTTAAAAAAATTAAAAAAATAAAAACCACAAGCAGAGCAAAAATTGTATCTGCTGTAGTTTTTAAAATAACAGCTTTATTATTATGATTTATATACCATACCATTCATCAATAAAGTATACAATTCTTTTAGTATATTTTGTATGATTTTTAGTATATTTACCAAGTTGTGCAACCTTCAGCACAATTAATTTTAGGACATTTTCACCACTCTAAGGAGAACCCCAATTAGTACCCATCAGCAGTTATTCCTATCTGCTCC